GGCCGCCGTTCGAACCGTCCTCTTCTTCCGTTAACTGCCATGTTTTCTTCTCGCCTCGCTTGTATCTGTTTCTGTTTCCCTTTTCTCGCCAGAATAATCGTTCTCCGAAGTAAGGTCGCCAAATTTAGCAGCTATTTTTCGGATATTTTCCTTTGAACAAATAAAAATTGTAGGAGTTCTATCATCTTGACTGGCTAAAATCCGATTATTCCTCGTCCATACATATTTTAGATTATATTTCTCTTGATTAGACTCGATCTGTTTAAAAAGCCCAGCACCGTAGGGAGATAAAAGTTCTGACACAAACACCGGTAATGCTGGGGATGGGCAAACTTTTTCTATTTAATCAGGTAATAAAAACTCGTAAATACACATTTCCTTTTTACTTGGATCGTAAGATAATTTGATCACAAAGTCGATAAAAAAGGTGGCCTTCAAAAATATTAAGCCGTTTGGCACGACCTACACCCCCAAATTTAAAAAATAAGGAGGTTAAATAGGACAAACGGTCCAATATTTTTGTAGGGAACCGATTTTTATCGATTTTGTGATCAATTTATCTTACGATCCAAATAGAAAGCAATTGGGTATTTACGAGTTTTTAGTGCCTAACTAAATAGACAAAGTTTGCCCCCCTCCAGATTGAAAGAGTTTTCGTAAATAAAATAGTTGTAGGTTACGATGAGATGAAACTATTCACGACGTTTCAGGCGAATGTTAATAATTCGATAAAAAGGGGTCTGTACCACGGACTAAAAATGTTAAAGTTCGGAATTAAATGAACAACAATTAATACAAAATTAATCCCGAAATAACAGAAAATAAATATTTAAGCCATATCAGAACTGGCTTACATAAACGGCTTACATTTCTAACTTTGATTAAAAAGAGGTCAGAAATTTTTATATTATTTATTGATATTACTAATTTTTTTACTCGATGTTTACATCTTTACTCTTTTCAAATACCGAGATTCTATATATTAAAATATTGCCATTTTTGTGATATATCGAATTACTCTTTCGATATATTTGAAAAATATATATATACAATATATCATCGGTTTATTGCAATTAACCACTAAGTACATTTTTGGTCAGGTACGTCGCTATTCGATTTCGATCATATTTATCGATACAATAACTCATTAAGTGGATACAAATCATTTCGTAACTAAAAAATAGTTTTATTAAGTGCATTATGCTCTGACTTAACAGAGCTAAGAGTCAATTAACTTTACAGAGCTCAGGTAATTAACGACTTTTATCACTGTATAATAAGTGATCACATGGTTAATAAAATCAAGTGAGGTGAGTCTAACTCACACTCTTATGTGTTAACTGGTCTGTGTGAGTGTGAACAGACTAGCCCGAAAACGAAAAAACGTAAGTAACTGAAACTAAGGTTGCCGCCATATGTCTGATATGTTACATACAAATTTTCTCTATAATCGACTAACCAGAAGTGGTAATATATATAATCGATATTATACATTTTTACTAATTTTTTTTTACTACAGTTTTCTGAAAAACTGCCCCAACGATTTTTAATTAAATTCATTATGCCAGGGTAAAATTCGTTTTCTTTAATGTTATGCAAGTATTATTTCATTATGCAATCGGTATTGCTCAAATATAGAATTTTTTTAATTTCTTCCTCTAAAGTACCATTGATTTTGCTTATTTGAAAAGAATAAGTATTTCACATTGTAACCAGTAATAAAAAATGTTTATATATAATCTATGAAAGAATTTGATTATTAAATAAAGAATAAATAAGGGATGGTAATGCGGAACTGAAGTTGTCCGAATGTACATCCGAGATTGGATGAAAGGTTAGGATAGACAAACTTAACAAACGGTCAATATGATATGTAGGAACGTGCGGGCATCGATAATACTATATACATATAAATCTGAGGTTTTCATAAATGCTACTAGCGCTGGTATTATTTATTATTTAATTGTATAGAATAAAAATAAAAATTTGTATACATATATATATATATATATATATATATATATATATATATATATATATATATATATATATATTTATATCAGTGTTAAAACAAATAGATGAATGACAAAACTCACATTGAAATATAAATAAAAATGTAAGTCCTTCTTTTTCAGTGGCACTCCTCTTGAACTAAAATAATTTCGTGGTGCTTAATTATTTATTATAATTAAATGAATAATTAAAATATACAGTCGTAGAAGGCATGTTAGTGTCAGAAATGACGCATAAATTTAACAGATCAGGTGTGTGGGAAAAAGTTATGATAATTATTTGTTTTAGATGAATATATTATACTGCCTATAAGTTTTACTTTCGCTTCCCTTTATACGAAAATATCAATTTCTGCTCAAAGTAGGTAAATAAGTGAAAGTTGCGTGATGGACGCACCGCACCAGATATTTGTTTTTACGTTAGCGGAGTGAATAATAGCAAAGTGGAATAATTAAAGCGGGTTTTTTTTCTCACATAATAGATTCTTTCGTTTGAGACATAAATAAAGAATAGGAGTAAAAACTGTGTGATGTTTCTTTTATTAATTTCAGCAGAAGGCTCATTTAATTACATTCAATTAATTTTGAAACTGAAAAAGTAGACCGCGTTTATACTTTTTTCAATTCTGTATTGGTTTATTTCGTATGGTATATTCCTATATATCGTTGTATATACTTCGTTTGCATGTTTGACGATATTGAAGGCTGTGTAGAATTCTCCAATTACATTAAAAATAAAACAATCTTAAAGGAGTTAAAATTATTAAAGAAAATTACAGCAATCAAGTAATTTTCTATAACAATCTTGCAGCTGTTAGATAATTGACCCTGTGATGGTATGATATAAACTACCTGATGAGGTACAAATGACAGCGGCGTAAATAACTTTGTTTTTCATACAGTGAATGTTTTGTAATATATGTTGTTTTGTAAAATGATTTAGTACGTTTTAGAGAGAAAACGTCAAGAGGTTTTTGCTTCCTCGCTACCGAAGGTAGGGAAGCATTGTATTCGTGCGAGAGATTAAAAAAAATTGTGCTCAAAATCAAAAATTTCCACTCGCGTTTTACGTTTCACTCATCAAGGATCAAATTTGGTTCGGTGTCTGTCTGTGGTCAAATCGATGTAACGGGCATATCACCTACTACCGTTCTTCCGATTTTCATGAAATTTTCAGGAATTGTGCGGGTTGGTGGCTAGATGGTCCCGTATCAATTTTATTAATCTCTAACCGGCACTTCCGCTTACGCACGCGCAAATGCATTTTTGTAGATATGCCAATATTTCAGAAATGTCTCGTTCGATTTGGCTCAAAGTTGGATAAAAGGTTAAACAATAATAAAAAAAAATCGTTAAAAAATAATGCAGGGTCAATTTTATTGAATTATGTCCATTGCTTTCTCCTATATATGCCCAAACATGTTTTCTTACATACATCTATATCTCTAAAACCGCAAGTTCGATATGGCTCAAATTTGGAGGAAATTTAGGGATTGGTAAACGTAAAATGAAATAGGCATCAGTATCATTAAATTATATCTAATACTCCAGAAAAAAATACTTCCGCTTTCAGATGAGGAAATGTATTATTCGATATGTCTATAGTTTGAAAACAGAGTATTCGATTTGACCCTAACTTGGAGGGAATTTGGAGACCACTATAGAAATTACTTAGTGTCAATTTCATTGGATTCCAATTAATAATTACTATTAATATAAATAATTGTTAATAATATAATGGCTGTGAAATGTGGAAGGCACTGATCGTATGGAGGGGAAGTTAGGTTATTACAATATTGCTGTGGGGTTTGGTCGCTTCCAAAAGTTACTGGCATGACACTTATTGCTGTAACTTAGATTTCCTGTACTTTTCAGTAAACTTAAAGTAATTTATATCCTGAGTTTGTAAAAAAAAAAAAAGTCCCATTTGTGATAGTGTTTATTTTCATTGAAGGTCAGCCAGTTTCTATTGGTCTAGGTTTCCTCGATTTAAATATCGAAGTTATGTGAACTTCATATGTTGTTTTATATTCCAGTTTAATTAGTTTTGTTCTGCTTATATACAAAGTACTGCTCTCGTTTACTCTGAACGAACAACAAGATGAATTTTCCTTATGGATTTTCTAGTTCCATCCATTTTACTAGTGAACACATACCTATTAAGTATATATCACTATTATTAGTGCAAAAAATCGTATGTAAAAATTTTCAACTTTTATTCTATTTGTGCTAAAGGTGACATTTTCTAGTCTGCAACAGATGTGAGTAGTCTGCTAATATGGAAATTTCAGAGGACTATAAAATATGAAATTATACTAATAAAGCATAAAGAAATAATTACTTTTTATGCTCTCTTGCACTAAGAGTAGTGATATGCGTGTTCAGTATGTATTGGTATTTTTTTTTTTAAATTAAGAATCATAAAATATGGAATCTTCAAATACGGCACTCTTTCGCATTTTAATATTTGCTGATAAACGAAATTCGTCGATATCAAACCCGCGAAGGTTGATGGGTAACTGTATTGCCGTCTTCTATCCGGGATTCTCATACGAAAAATTGTATACTTTTTAATACAGATATATTTTAGCCAATGAAAACGGTGAGGAAGCTATACTGACCTTATTTGGTAGACATTTTTTTTGTAAAGGCAGAAATGATTTATTGAAATACCTTAAATTTTGATATCTCTAATAATTTATTCTTTTATCTAACTTCATGATTAAAATTTATAAAACGCCCTCAACGCCTATGCGAAGACAGCGGTAATGCAAACTAAATCTATTTTAATAAATATTAGTTTTTACTGTATTTTTAGTGCCGCAAAAAAATAAATAACTGTTAAATATCCAAATGCTTAATATATTATAAATGAAATTTAATTATAATAAATAAACCAACTATTCACAAATAAAATCTTAATTTTAAAAATGGATGAAATACATGAATTGAATATTTTTTTTTATAAAATGTTTGGAAAAGGCTTACCCGCCCACTTTCCAAATGACTTCAAGTCTATCTGCTTGCACCATCGAGACCACACAAACAACTTGAAGAACTTGTGAAAATAAAAAAGAATCCTGATCAACAATGCTAAGCAGGACAGCACTCCGAGCCAAAAGAAAGCTTCCTCGTAACCCATTATCGCCAACCCCAGGCTTACGACTGAAGGTAATCAACAATTCTAACCCCGCAAGGCTCGGCCTAGTTCGGTCAACATCGGCTCCCGCCCCGATCCTTCTGAAAAATGCATTGAGTCGTTTATTTCCATAATGAATACTATATCATCCTTGCCATGTCTTCAGAAAGTGTGAAAAAATGTATTTTATATTTCAATTTTAATATCAAACCCTTTTATATTTAAAAAAAAATAAATAAAGAAATTCTTTATTTGTAGAACATATTTCCGAACGTCATTAATTATTGCAATAATGATAAGAAAAATATTTAATACTTAAATAGGACACTAAGAAAAAAAAGAGGTTGATTGGGGTTGGTTTTAGAGAGAAAAAATTGTAAATGATTTGGAGGGGAAAAAATCATAAATATTGTGCTATAAAAAATTAACTTTTGTTTTATAAAAGTGGTGGGTCATTCCATCCCAAATCATCCAGAAAAAGTTGAATTTGTAACCCACCCTCCTCAGACTTAATGAAAATTTGTAAATATTAAGTAAATATACATGTAAGTAAAATTACCAAATCGTGCCCAATTATAACGACAAGTTTCAGAATTATGGGCATTTAAACTTTTAAAATATTTTAAGTTGGTAAGACATTTTGAGCAAAACCCAATAATTGTAGGTCATGAGCTTTCAAAATTTATTCATTTGTCATGCATTTAATACTGAATCTGCTGATAGCATAAGTTTTAGAATTATAATTTATATTCATGTGTAAACAAACTCATAAAAATAAATTTTCATAGTTGTGATAAAAATATAAAGCAAAAATAATATTAGTGGGATTTTGAGTTTGAAGAGTTTTATTACACTTCAAACATAATACAGTAAATTTGAATTTACCAGCTATAAATACAAGTAAAAATTGCTTAAGTCTGTCTCCAAATATCGTAATTAAAATATGAGATGATGTAATTATATTTATGGAATTTTGAGTGAAAAAAGATTTATTTATAATGTAAATCAAATAAGTTTTTGCGTGATACGTAAATGGTGTGCTAATTGATATTAAAAAATATCATTTAACAAAACGTACTGAAAAAACATTCGTATAGTCAACAAAATAATGTTTGTATCAATATTAGATATTGAAAAAGTACTTACGTACATTGATATAAAGCATAATATTTTGAAAAAAAATTTGGTGCGCGCAACACACAACTTTCACTTACTGCTCAATATAAATTATTTTCTGGCTAGGTTGGGCTATTATAAAATTTTTGAATTGAATTTTTAACTGAGCAAAAGCTAAAAGATTGCAGCTGACAAATCATAAATACTATTAAAATAACGAAAGTCCTATTTATTATATCACCGGTTGATGATGGATTGTATGATGCGTTGATTATGGATTGTATGACTACTGGTTATTAAACTGTTATTTTCCATTGCAAAGTTTACTTTTTACGATAAGTTTGAACGATTTAGTCATTGTTCTTGTACCATTTATCTCCATTGCTAATTTAGTGACTGAAGAAGTGAGAAACATCAAAAATTATTGTTCTATGTGATCGTCCCGCCCAAGTGAGACAAAGGTACCTCATTTCAGGTTTTCCCTGGATGCAGTACTTCTCCCACAATCACAGTATGGTACTAGCAACTTAAAAAGAAATTAATCAGAAAGTACGATGCAGCGCCGGCCTTAGACATTCGGAGCTAAACATAAACATCTTGAGATGTTTTATATTATGTAATATTTGAATTTTACTTCATTCAACATTTGCCCAATACAGTCGCTTTATTGATAGACTAAAATTAATTAGTTCAATACATACTGTCTGTACGAAAAAAAAAATCTATCAATACTGATCTATAAGTCATTGAAAAATAATTTTGATACCATCATAATCACAACTAAATTTTCTATAAAATATCTAAAGTACAACTCCGTTTAACCGGCTCTCAGGGTTAACCTGGGATAAAAGAGATGAATCAATTTTTTTTTTCTCAGGGTAGGATAGAGCTTCAGCTGACTAAATTATTGAAACAAATGAAATAGTTGTTTTTTTTACAATCACTCTTGAACTGTGAACTTAAATTAAGGGAATTAATGGGGTATCAAACTAATAAAGGGAAAATTAACAGAGTAACAAATAGTGAAAATCTTCCTATAGTGTGAATAAAGAGGAATTATGTATTTTACGTTTTTCAATAACCTAGACGCCATTTTTCCTGTTATTGATAGAAAAACTTGATCGGTTAAGCAAAAAAAAAATATATATATTAACGGGCCTTGTGAAGACTATTTAATAGCGAGCAATCGGTTATACCACAGGCAAATCTACGGGGAGGGGGAGGAGAAGGAAAGGGCTTTCGGGCTGAAGCTCTCCCCCCTCCCAAAAAAAGTAAAATATATAACCATCTTTTACACAAAAAAAAAAAAATAGTATAAACTATCTCTTAAAGTATTCTTGTTCGTTTAATTACAATTAATAGGACTTCAAGAACCACTTAAACACTATTTCACATAAGTAATTAATTTCTTTCTTTTTTTTCAAATTAATTATCGTTATATATATATGAAAAAAAAAGCTTTCGGGCTGAATTTCCTCCCCCCTCCAAAAATTAAATACTGGATCCGCTAGTGGTTTATATACTTAAATTAAATCATATATTCAAGAAAAGTTACAATACGTTGATCTAATCAATTTAAATGCATCATATTTTAATACATACATACAAGCTATAAATCAATTGTTGCAGATACTTTTAACTTTAATTTCAATTTTATTTTAACCAGCCATGTCTCGGTTCTGACTAGGACGGATAAGCGAGGTAGCGTAGTGGTTTAAACAGTTTTTACATTTAAAATAGCAAGTAAATTAATGAGCTGTCTATTATTTAAAAGAAATTAAAATTGTTTTTCAATTTTATAAAATAAATAAAATCAATGGCATGATTTTACGAGGAGATGAAAGGTTGAGAGATTTCATTTTATTCCACGCTACCAAATACCAAAAACTCATTCCATGAAATTATTTTTTAAAAATGAATTATTTTTCTAATTCGAATTTATTAAATATTTGCTAACTTATATACTAAATGATAAGAATACGACAGAGTTCCGGATTTTCATCTAAAATAAATAGAATCTGAAGAAACATTTTTTAAATTTAATTTTTGTTTTATTAATTTATATTTTAACATATAATTATATCTAAGAGAATGATTTTAAATAAAATACAAAGATATATTAATTTATATATCATATCAAAAATACGATAGAGAGTTTTGATTTTTAATGTGAATAAATAAATCCTACCAATGATTTTCTTTAAATAATTAATTGATATGCTTAGGGCTAAATGACTAATTTAAAATATAACGAAAAGATAAATTAATTTATACAACACATGAAAATATACTTGTTTATTTTAGACTCAATATTTTTTTTTCAAATAGACGCTCATTAAAAAATAAATTAATAAATTTAATTCAATTTACAATATTAAATTACGCTTAAATTTGAGACCCAGATGGACGCATCTGAAATATTTTTTAGTATTTTTAAGGATCCTAGTCTTAATAAACAAATAGATGTTAGACCGGTCGGTTGCGATAAAAAGGTCTGGACTTGAAAATTCGAATAAGTAAGTAATTTCTTTTTTCACTCAGTGTATCGTTTTGAATAGCTATACATTATTATAAAAATAAATCGTAACTAACATACAAAATGTGAGTGAAAATAATTACAATAATGAGGAACAATTTTCGTTGTAATTCAATTATCCCATGGTCGGATTCGGAAGGCTCATACAACGTTAAAAATCAATATTTTACTGATTGAGTTAGTGAAATATCTTAGGCTGCTAATCTATTTTTGATTGACGAAAAGAAAATAATTTTTAAATACCTTCAAAAATAATTGTTTTCGCCTTTCAATCACTGTGTCCCGTGGCGCCACTTTATCTGCTGCGCCACGTGCAATTTTTTTAAATTTAATAATCTAACTAATATTTTGTCCATAAATAATATTTTTTTGTTTTCTTCTAGTACTCCGTTTCTACTCCATTCTATTCCGTTCCAAAATACCTTCTATTTATACATTTAACGCCTTTCTCTTTTATTTTCGTTGGCATTATGAGCATGGTTCAAAAATGTTATAGAAGTGAATTAGGTATTTAAGGTATGTCTGCAATGTTGCTATAACATTATCACTAAAACAGACTAACCGGAAGTACCACTTCATATATTTTTTATTCTGAGAAGTTGTTCATTGGCTGGTAAAAATTTTTTAAAAATTCTTTGGAACACCAAGAGAATAAATTTCACTGTTTAAAAAAAATTGGTATAAGGACCTGTTTCTTATTTTAGTTTTACTTCAATTTGCCGATGAAAAAGTTTATTATACTAAAAAACTGTAGTAAACCATTCCTCTAAGATTAAAGAATTCGTTCAACATTCACCAAAGAAAATGCAGCAAATTATTTCACAACGGTTTATTATTTCCAAACAGTTATTCGTCTAAAGTAACATTACCTTCCTAGTGACAAAGAAAAAGAAATAAAAGGTCATTCAAATTATTAGACTAAACATTTTTTTTATCATTAAGTATTTTGCTAAAAAAAAAATATCATTACTTCTGTTATACATACAAAAACCAAAACAAAGAATATAACCTTTGCTGTGGAACATATAAAAAACATCTAGACCATGTCTTTGCTCCAAATTGTCCGATTTTAACGATTTTTTTTTTGGACATTTCGTAAACTTTTAAATAACAATGCAACATGAACACATTAGTTATTCGGAATCTAATTTTACCATCCCTCGTAACTTTTTTCCAGCTTCTTTTGGTTGAAGTATGTTATATAGATAAATTGAAAGGGTACCGAGAAGAAGACTTTAGCGGCGAAGTTTCATTGAAATCGGTACATTGGTTTAGGCGCCTATAGCATGCATACTTTTCGGTCATCTTGAAAGGAAAGGGCAGATAGAAATGAAGGAGGGTCATCCTCGAGTGACCTCTAATTTTA